GCAAAATATAAATCATAAAATCTTGATTAGTGCACAATAACTATTATAGAATAAAACATTTATGGTTAATGAATATGTTTGCATGTCAAGTCCTAATAATTTGTTTCTAAAATGAATATGAGAAAATTTGACAATTTAAAAACATTTAAGATTAATTTCACTAATGCTTTCTGAATTTTGAGGTTATTTCTACTTTGCTTTCTAAGCTTTGAAAACTCACATTTTTCCTCATAAATTTTAAATTTGTCTTATTTAAGTTTTTTTGTATAAATTTATCTTGAAATCAAACCGAAAAAGGAGGATAAGTGTAACTATATGATTTTTATTTGTTTATTTTTAATAGAAATCTAAATAAAAAGACTCAACATTACTCTCTTTTCTTTTTATCTATTTTTAATAAAAATTATAACAAAAAGAGTTAAGTATGAAAAATTTTAAATTCAATAAATAAAATGGGATATTTAAAGTTTAAATGAAAAACTGTAAAGACCTCAAAGTTTAAGAACACTGACAATAATAATCCAAACATTTAAAATTAGATATATAAAATTACGGAATTGCCTTTTCTTTAGTTATTTAATTTTTCTCTTAAGAAAAACTATTAGTAATTTGGAACAAAGAAAAAGACAAGAGGCAGTCTTGTGGTCCTTCGTCGTTTCAATTCAATTCTACTCCAAATACTCAAATGGTGATGCACATGGTGAAAGAGACAACAGTACTTCCAGCTTCAGAAATCTAAAAGGTAAATTCAGAGTTCAGTGTCCCAAACAAGGGTAGTTTTGGTACTTCAATTTACCTTTGAAGAATATTGAAGGCCATTCAGTTTGTTAATTTAAATTTTTAATTTGAGTTGAAATGTGATGTTATATGAGAGTTTTTTATTATAGTAAAAAAAATTAAATGTAATTATTTTTAAAAAAATCTTACTGTAATAAAATTTAAATTTTAAATTCGAATTGGTGAAAAAAACGGGACCCGAGATTTTTTTTTTGAAAATTCGAGTATTATATGAATAAATGATTCACGGGACAAACGGGAATTCTTGATAATAAGAGGATAGTGGTTTTATTTGCTTTTGTCTTAGTTGATCAACTTTATTGTTCTCTTCAAGAAACCTAATACAAGACAAAAGAGAGAGAGAGAAAAATTAAAAGCATTAAAGTTTCATGTTGTTTTTGTTTTTGATTTTGTTTTTTGTTTTTTTTATGAGAAGTTTCATGATGATGACGCTGTTGTTTTATTTTATTTTATTTTTCTTTCCTTGGTTTACTTTTCCTCTCATTAGTTAAAAGTTTAATAACTTTTTGTCATTAATGAATGATATTTTGAACCACTTGCAATTTAACTACTTTACATGATTAGAAAATTATTATATAATAACACCTTATAGAACTCCGACAGAAAAAAAAATTAAAAGACCTAAAGCATAAAAATCCCCCAACTCTGCAAAGAATAAACTCTAACGGATTGAAAACAAGTTAAGAATCTGTTTAGTTTATGAATTAGAATCATGAGATTATAACTATTTTTAATTTACGTGTGTTTTTCGTGTGAAAAAATACTGTAACGAACCATGAACTATGATTCGAATCAGAGAATGAATTTTCCAACCAAACGGACTCTAAAAATCAAAGAGTGAATAAAGTACATCGATTATTACAAAACATAAACAAAACCCATTAGACACAACAACTACAGAGCAGAAACGACCTTGCCTTTATTTTACATAAATAAAATAACTACCACAAGACAGAGACAAAGTTCCGGTTGCTTAAGAAAAACCATTGCCTTCCATGCATATCTCCCACTTCCAACACTGACGGCCCTTGAGAACATGCAACCAAAATCCCAAAAATACGTCCCTTTCATCTCACCAAAATGTGTAGTTTCCTCTCTTGCACGGTTGCACCAAGAATCTGAAGGCCAGCCAAGCGACGGTGCTGGATTTTCACCACAAGTAGTGTTGGAATATTGGACGGGCCGCTCGCGATTACTTGAACAAACTGAACTTGTGCCTGATACCCGAACCCGCCCACCTGAGAAATTTAGGCCGCCCGCCCGAGCCCGAGATTTTCCTCGGACGGACCGCGGGCTTTGTCTTGGCTGCCCGAGCCTGATCGGGCAGCCCGAGCCCGCCCAAAAATTGAATATATTTATATAATTTTTAGTTTTGTATAATATTGTGTATATATTATATATAATATTATTTATTAATTGTATTTGTACATAAATAATTATTAAGTTATTTATTGTAAAAATTATATAAAAACTTAATTAAGATTAAAATCAACACACACTATTAAAACAATTCAAAGAATTAGTTTTGTTTATTAATTTTTAAATTTTTACTACATCAAACACTTTAGTCTGGCGGGCATTCGGGCGGGCCACTCGGCGGACAATCGGGCGGGCACTTTAGGCGAGCATTATGGCGGGCTTCGGACAATGGGCTTGCAATGACGGCGGGCTTCTTTTTTTTTGGTTGATTTTTGGACTGCCCGAGCCTGAGTCCGGCCTGAAACTTAGACGGGCAGACATAAGGTCCTGCCCACCGAGCTTAAAAATTTTCAGACTTCGGGTAGACCCGCCGCCCATAGTTCTAGCACTAACCAGAAGGGAGAAGCACAAACATAGCACATGAGAGAAAGGGAGAACGAGAGAAGGAAATGAGGAACACTTTAGCGGCTATTATCTAATGACACTTTAATGTGACCAAAAACCATTTCCAGCGCTTTAAGGTCATCCAGACTTGAAAAAATGCAAAAAAAAAAAAGAAAAAAAAAAAAACATTCATGACCATGCCACTCTTTTTGAAGCCCCTAGAAACGAATAAATATCTCTTTTTGAAGCCCCTAGAATAAGTATTGTTTTCCCTCTTTTTTTTTTTTTTTTTTTTTTTTTCTAATCAATAAAGCCATTATATAAAACACAAAAGATAAAAGTGAGATGTAGATAAAATTTTCTATTATTCGATGACGCACATATATAGTTTTCTTTTTAAGAGGATATCAATACAATATTATTTTAATTATTAAGGGCACAATTAAAATTCTTCAGACATTCATGTTAAATAAGAAAGTTTTAGGGTCGTTTTTTTTCTCCTTTTTAGGATTTTATTTTTCACATTTCTTTATAAAGTTATTTTGGAAACACCCTAAAAATAGCGTTTTTTACAGTCTTGATTCGAAAATGGAGATATCTGGAATGAGACCAATTTACTAAAAGGAATTGGAAAATGATTTAAAGATATTATTTTATTTTTAATTTTTAGGGCTTTTATATTCAACATATTTTTTAAAAACATAAACAAAATTGATATAATTTTTTTTTCTTATAATCGAAAAATAATCTCGCAAAAAACAAACGAACACAACTTTAAAAATGAATCCAGTACCATTCTAAAAAATATTGATTTTCATTTTCATACTCAAAATAAAGTCATTCTAAAACATTTCATCTAACGTCCCCATTGAGAGGATGTTAAAGGAAAAATAAAAGATAAAATTAAAATTAAAAGCAAGAGCGAAAGAAAAATGTTTGAGAACACTACAATCTTTACAATTACAAAAAGGTACATTTAAAATTACAAGACTGGTGTCCCAATATTGCTTAGAACAAAATGCACTTGTGTAACTTTTTAGAAAAGAACAATATAAAGGAGAGATTTTCTTCGGTAGAGCCGCCCTTCGATGGAGCCAGTTTTTGATCGCTGAATTTGGTAAAAAATATATATATATATATTAGTTTAAAAAAATATGCAGAATAAATAATTTTTTATACAATTTTAAAGATTAAAAATAAAAAATTATTAATAATTTATTTATTTTTTGATTCTATTCGAGAAAGTTCCTATGAAAAAAATTAATTTTATAAAAAATAAAGAAAAGAAATGTTAGCACTACTATTTTTATCACTCTCTTTGTCACTAACTGCATTTATTATTTGATACATAAACTTTACTATCTCATTTTTTTGTTTGAATAATAATATATGATATAGAGTCTACGTGTCAAACAGTATATACAGAGAGTAACAGTGTTAGCATTTTTTCTAGCGAAAGTAATAGCATTTCTCAGAAGGAGAAATGTTAACATCATTTTTTTGTCACTATCTGCATTTACTGTTTGACACATTAACTCGACTAATATGATAAAATATTATTTAAATAGAAAATGAAATATTCAAGTGTACATGTTAAACAGTTTATACATAGAGTAACAAAAAAAAAATAATGCTAATATTTTTTTTAAAGACAAGATTATTTGAAAAAAAAAATAAATAAAAATGAGAGACATGACAAAGGATTTTTTTGTTTTTGTTTTGATAGATGGCTATGGACAAATTTAATTTATTTGGGGCTGGCTCAGTGCTTTGGGGCAATCATCTCGGCTAGAAATTAGATTTTTGTACGTACTTACTACCACAGAGAGAGAAAAATCTTTGAGACCCAATACCGGGTACTGGAGGTTCATGAATTAAAATAATAAAATTAAAATTATTTTTAATTTATATATATTTTAAAAAAAAAATTATAATAAATTATAAATTATTATTCAAATTGAAGTACAAATTCACTAACCAAATAACTCCTTTAAATTCAAATGAGATAAACATAAGACACTAATACATAGGGTCCATCAATACCAATTCAGACCTTCATTGTCTCTTTCTGGTCCTCTTCACTCAGTAGCTACTATATATCAAAAATCATTTATTGTTGCAAGTAAAACAATTTTTTTCTTCTAATTTTTTTTTTTTGGTTTGGCATGTTTCTAAGAGCCCAAAAAGATTCTTCATTTCTTTCAATTTCCATATCTCTCAAAAGGGTCTTCTTGAAAAAGGTTTATTTTTCTTTTATTTTTCTTCTTTCCTAATTAAAATGAGTGCTTTCCTTCTTCCTCTTTGGTGATGGACAACTATTCTAGAGAAAGTTCCAAAATGCTTCACAGGTTCTGGCTGGTTGGCTTTCAGAGGCAAACTCAGCAGAAAGGAAAAAAAAATTATGGTATATACACTTGAAGATTTTCACATCTTTCAGTTTCCTTTTGTAGTTTCTAAGTAAAGGGTGTGAGTGAAGCTTCAGTGAAAGAGAGCTCTTTTGGTACTTAACCCAAGTTTTCAAAAGTTGAAAGCTTTACTTTTTTTCAACTTCTCATGGTGGTTTGTTACTATAATGAGAAAAAAAAAATGATGACTTTGGAGAAGTAAAGCCATTTTGAAGGAGGGAAAAGAAAAAGAAAGAAGAAACCCCAAGACGAGTAAGAGGAAACTCTCGAAAGGGTAGTGAATAATAGTTTATAGAAATATGCCAACAGTTTGGTTCTCTCTGAAGAAGTCTCTACATTGCAAATCAGAGCCCCAAGATGTTCATGACCCAAAATCAAGAAAACTGTTGAGCACAATCTTGACAAGAAAAGGAGGAGGAGGAGGAGGAGGAGGAAGATCAGGATGTTCAAGGTCAATAGCAAATCTCAAAGATGTAATCCATGGAAGCAAAAGGCATTTGGAGAAGCCCCCAAGTTGTAGCCCAAGATCCATTGGAAGCAGTGAGTTTCTAAACCCAATAACTCATGAAGTAATCTTGAGCAACTCAAGGTGTGAGCTCAAGATAACTGGCTTCCATGGCTTCCAAGATGGTGGTTTTGGTGGGCCCAGCAGTGGCAATTGTGGAAATGGCCTTGGAGGAGGAGGAGGAAGTAGTAGTAGTAATGGGGGTAGTGGATTTGTGGGCACTTTGAGACCAGGCACACCTGGGCCTGGAGGACACTCCACAATGCATTATTTCAATAATCCTTCATTTAGGGCCTCATCAACTCCTCCTAGGAAATCTCCTTTTCTTGTGTCAGATAATGGCTCTGCTAATGAAGGCTTTAGGCCAAGCAATAGAGTCTCTCTTGATGCAGATTCCATTAATGGCTCTTCTTCCACAATCACTTGTCATAAGTGTGGAGAGCAGTTTACCAAATGGGAAGCTGCTGAATCTCACCATCTGTCTAAACATGCAGGTAATTTTTTTTTTTTTTTTTTTAAATTTTTTGGGGTGAAGGTTCAAAAGTTCAAACTAATTGCATAAAGTTTCTGACCACACAATTTTGTTTTTCATTTATTATTATTATTAATATTCTGTGAGTAAAAAAGTAATGTGTAATCTGTGTACCAAAAGGTTATCCTTATCTACACTTTTGTAACCTACAGCTGGGAGTATAAGATCAGCATTGTTCTCTTTTGAGAAATCGAAGAATCTTTTCCAACTTCTTATCTAGTGAATTGCTTGTCCTTGTTCTTTTTTTGTTCTTATTTGGTGGAAGTAGATTCTACATTCCCCAAGCAAATAACCCTTTTAACATCTTTAACATATTCACTCATTTTTAGCCCTCTTGGAGTAGATTTATTCACTAGTTTTGTAATCTTTTTTTCACAGTTACTGAGCTTGTGGAGGGTGACTCATCAAGAAAAATAGTGGAGATAATATGCAGGACAAGCTGGTTAAAGTCTGAGAACCAATTTGGCAGGATTGAGAGAGTCCTTAAAGTCCACAACATGCAAAAAACACTAGCCAGGTTTGAAGAACACAGGGAAATGGTAAAAATCAAAGCCAGCAAGCTACCGAAGAAGCACCCCCGTTGCCTCGCCGACGGGAACGAGCTCCTGCGGTTCTACGGCACGACTCTGGCGTGTTCTCTGGGCCTAAATGGCTCATCCAGTTTGTGTGTATCAGAAAAATGCAGTGTTTGTAGGATCATAAGAAATGGGTTCTCAGCAAAAAAGGAGCTCAAGGAAGGAGTGGGAGTTTTCACAACTTCCACGAGTGGAAGAGCTTTCGAGTCAATCGACATATTTGAAGAGGACCCAACATTGAGAAAAGCCTTAATAGTTTGCAGGGTCATTGCTGGGAGGGTCCATAGGCCATTGGAGAACATACAAGAAATTGCTGGTCAAACTGGTTTTGACTCATTGGCTGGGAAAGTTGGTCTTTACTCAAATATTGAAGAGCTTTATTTGCTGAATCCTAGAGCACTTCTTCCTTGTTTTGTGGTTATCTGCAAACCATGAAGAGAAGTGAAAATAGAAAAAAAAAAAAAAAAAAAAGGGGGGGGGAAAATTTGTTTTTGAAGATATGTGAATGAAATGAGTGGTTTCATTTTTTTCTAATTTTTTGGTAGGAGTCAGATTTTCTTTCTTTGTTTTTAGTAGAAAATATGATTCTTCTTTCAGGAATCTTTGTCACTTGGTTCTTCCTCAGTGTCCATTGTATTAGCCTCCTCTTAAATTCTCATCTGTCTTTGTGTAGCTAATGCAGAAATGTATAACAATTTGTTATTGAGAAACAACGGCTTTTTTCAAGATTCACGTGACTTTATAAAGGAATTGTCAATCAGTCGTACTTTTATGAGAGGCAAAAGAGTTTGTGGATTTGATTATCTAGTCCTTAAATTCTTCAACTTTGCATGATATTTAATGAAAAAGGTTAATCACATTATTATTTATGGGTGAGGTGTAAACTTGTTCATGGATGCTTTGCTTCTTGGCTCTTGGAGCGGTAGATCATAATTGCTATGTCGGTACACTAAATTTTTGAATCTTTCAATATAGCATTAAAAAGGTTCCTACCTCGAATTCTATGCCAACAAAATAAAACCCAATACTTCAAAAAAAAAAAAAGGGTACGAGAATTGTAGCATTAGTTTAATAACCAACAGCAGATTCCATTTTAAGTCTTGAATAACAAAGTCCATGGATCTTAAATATTAAAAAGGCATTTAAAGACTAATATAAACTACCACTTCTAAGCATCTTCTTTTATTTTTCTGTTCCCTTTAAGTCTTGAATAACAAAGTCCATGGATCTTAAATATTAAAAAGGTATTTAAAGACTTATGGTGTGTTTGGTAAGGGGATTCGTACCCTGATTCGAATCATGATTCATGATTCGTTACAGTGTTTTCTCTCACAAAAAATACACATAAATAGAAAATAATTTTAATCTTATAATTCTAATCCATAAACCAAACGTTTCTTAATATAAACTACCACTCCTAAGCATGTTCTTTTATTTTTCTTTTCCCTTTTTAATTAACATGGCATACTTATAAAAAAAAAAAAGGAGAATTTAATGCAGATAGCATCATACAGTGTGGAGAGAAGGCATGTGGTCCATGTTAAAATGGGTATGTTTCAAGTATACGTCAGTCCAAACTAGAACACAAAAAAACAATCAAAAGTATGTGCATTCCACATGTTCTCTGTCCCGGATTTATTTTTTGTTTTCCCCTCTCTACTCCTATTTGATTTATGCTGTAAATACTTCATCCCAATCTCCACTCAATAGGAATATTGGAATTATATGTGCATAGAAGTCTAGGAGACGACCAAATGATGAGCTTTTCCACATTGAGTTCAGTGGAAATGGCTCAGCATTTCACCATTGATCAGGGCCAACGGATTTTTAACACACATGCATTCAGAGATCAGTAAAAGACAAGGCTTCATTTTCATACTACCCGTTTGGTAAAACCCTTCTCCTAATTAATTACTTGGTAATGGGTGGGCATCTAGTATGGCAAAGTCCTACCCAAATATGATCAAGCAATAGCACACAAGAATCACCAATCCAAAAATGAGTAGTGCTAAGGACATCAATTCTAATCCTGTTATGAAAATTAAGAAGAAAAACTTTAGGGAGAGAATTTCATTAATCTTGTGAAGGTATACAAAATGAAGAGCCTTAGAACTCTATTTATAAGAAAATTTTCAACACTATTCCCGGTTACTATTTACAAAGTACTTACTATTTTCAGTTACTATTTGCATAGTAAGATTCTGACATGAACAGTAACTGTGACTGATTTGCATAGTGACTTTGACTGAGGTGGACAGCTACTATTCATAACAAATCTCATTTTTTTGTACCAACTTTGAATATCATCTTTTCAATGACAAATGCAATTATATATTATTAATCAATATAATAATATTTTAAATATCCACAAATTAAAGAATAACAACTCATAATTAGTACAAAAAAAGCCGGGGACACAGGATAATGGGATGGAGAATGGTAGAGTAACTTATTTGGTAAGAAGGGAAAAATGAGGGAAAAGAAAATAAGATTGATAAAAGTCGTAGTGGGTTGGATGGATTTTGAAGTGAAAACTTAAAACCTAATAATGATTATTAAAATTACTTCTTTAATCCTCATTTTAAAGGTAAAACAATATAAGTAGATGAATAAAATAGTAAGTGTACAAATCCATCATTTTCTTTCCTTCTTATCTACCAAACAACAAGAAAAACTAATATCCTTTCTATCATTCCAATTTTCTCTCTCTTTTATAGTTTTTTCTCCATCATTTTATCTATGCTTCCTACCAAAAATATTGTAAAAGACATTGGAACCTTCAAAAAGGTGTCATGGAAGAAGGGAAAAAAAAAAAAAAAAAAAAAACACTTGAAACACGATGGATGACCAAAGAAGACTATGCAATGTAACACATTTTTCAATCATGCGATCAATACTAACTATTACCTAACCCTCTAGCCGTCTAACATACCTCCTAGTCCTGGATTAAAAGCCGTCAATTATGTAGAGCTTACATCCTCTTAAAGGTAATATATAGTCGGCTTAGTTCGCTGATTCGAGTTCAGATGTGACTTTATGTGAGAGTTTTTTATTATAGTAAAAAAGTTAGATATTATTGTTTATGAGAGATTTTTACTGTAGTAAAACTCGAATCGGTTTGTCTAATTGTAGAATCGATTTCTTTCTAGACCTTTCTTTTTTAGTAGAAATCTTCTAGAGCTTATAGCTATAGGAGTAAATTGCACGGTTTCATTTTATTTTTTCATAATACATCCTAAGTTTTTAGTTTTGATGACCTGCATCATCATGACCTTTCAAATAATCTAACAGTCGATAAGTGTTATTAAATTAACAGTTCAAGATGTGAAATTTGTATGTGATCTTATTTAAAATAGACGAGTTTTACTTTTCGTATATAAATCTCGTATCTCAAACTGTCACTTAATTATACTTGTTAACTTTTAGAACTTCTGCTGATTTTAAATTTTAGAGTATAACTTATCAAAATTAGAATTTTATAGTGCGTTAGTGTATTATGCATAAAATAAAAGATTTAGAACGCAACTGTGCAGTTTTTCTAGTTATGAAGTACTACTCCCTTTGGTGGCAGCTAGCATTTAAGATAAGGTCATAAATTCCGATCTCTATCTCTCCTCAACGTTTCTCTATCTTGTTCTAAAAAATGGTAGCTTTTATTGGTTGCTTTAGAAGTGTCCAAACATATCTACTTGGTTTTTGGTGTATTTTCTTTTTTAATCTGAACTTTCTTTTTCTTTCCATAATGTTTCATATTCTTACTTAAACATCTGTACAGCTTTTAAAAGCTCTGTGGCACATGCAGCCTCATAAATGCATAAATACTATTACTAAGGCACTCGCATACAGTTATCCAAAAATGGGATTGGACAAAAAAAAATTCAAAAAATAATAAAAAAAAAATCAATTTTCAGGTCTTAAATGTTTGGAGAGGGTGGTAGCTTGGAAGCTCTGGCAGATGAAAATTCTGCAGTGAAAGAGTGACATTACTCCTTGATATGGACTCTTCAGCTGCTGAGCTGCCAGTGTCATTTTGCTAAGACAATCATGCCAATGCTTGTATTGATTAGCAAGTCCTTGTGAAATTTTTGGCTAAATGAACGCAAAGAAAAAGAAAGGGAAACTTTGAAAACCCATTCAGTCAATTCGGTGTTTTCTCAACTATTTTGGACTTCAATTTTCCTGTCTCTCATGTTGATTCATATATCTTAGGGTTTGTCATGATTGAAAAATTTGTCGAAAAAATTATTGTATAAGATAAATTTTTTTGAAATTCTCTGTATTATAAATATGAATACTTTTATAATAAGTATTTGTTGATATTCATACTAAATAGCAAAGTATAAGCTAAAAGTCAAAATTTCTAAACTATGATTTAGTTAACGAATTTCAGACTGTAATCAAGAAAGAGGCATGGAACGCTGTGTTATTCCCACAAGGGGACAAACACATGAACATCAAGTTTAAGAAATGAAAAAGAATTGAAAAACATCAATTTTTGGGTTTTAGAAAGAAACATAATGAAAAATTGACGAAAAAAGGGTTCGGAAGGCCGAACCGAGAAAATTAAAGTTTTTGACCGAGTCAAAATTTGTTGACCAAGAGTTGACCAATAGGTCACTCTTGAAAAGTTAGTCAAGGTTGAGTAAAGTTGATCAAGTTGCCCAACTGTCCGAAAAACGTGCACCAGATAAGAATTAAACTGAATCGAAATAAAATAATTATTAAAAATGAATGGTTGAGATTTAAGGTGATTAATAGATGAAAGGCTGAGATTAGGATACATGAAAAGTGGGATGATGGCCGGCCAAGCTTAGGAGAGAAGCAAAGGAGATATTTTGATTTTTTTGCAAAAAAGACCCAAGAAAATGTCAAAATTACACCTAGATCCCTCATCTCTTTTATGACCGGTTTTATAAGGAAAAACTACAAGCAAAATGTTCATTTCTATGCAAGAAAACAGAGAACACTCAGCCAAAGAAAGAGAGGAACAAAAATTGCCAAAATGAGAAAAATGAGTTCAAATTGAAATCGGCAGAAAACCACCGTTGATTTCTAAGGTAAACTTTGATACTTATGTCAATGAAACAATTTTTTTAACAATTTTAGTTACGTGTGCGTCACATGACTAGTTGGTAAAAGATAATATAGGATGTCAATGTTGATATTGATGCGGGGTTACGAGTAAAGAGTAGATGACACTTGAGATTAAAATGAGAAAGAATTTACGGTCTTTTTATATTTAAAGTTTATTTTTTTTAAACATACTATATTGTCTTTTATCAAGCAATACTATGAGGTCAAAAAATTGACATCTCAACGATCAAAGTACTAAAGTAGTAACTTATTATAAATAAGGTTACGAGGGAGTTTTGCCATTTTTGAGTGATACCGGAAAAATGAAAATCATTATTCTTCAGGGGTCAAATTTAATATTAACACTATATTTAGTTTATTATAGTTTATGA